TGAAGGAGGCTGTCTTAAGTCGGCGGCAACGCCTCTCTGACAGAAAAGCCAGTACCTCACATCATCGGCTTTGCTGCCAGCTTTTGTGGTCTTTGTGTATACACTGCACACAAACGCTTCACACCCAGAGATAGTGTCTTCACTCATTGTGGTGTCTTTGCCCAGCTGAGACACACTCTCCTGGTGCAGCTCACTAGCACATATTGTGTTGAAGGCTTTCTTCTTGCCGATTCCACACAGTGAACTGTTAGTGTCGCATCCGGTCAGTGCATGGAATGCTGGCAATGCATCACAGAGCTGTGGACCCAACTCGGCAGCCAAATTGTGCATGGGGATGTACCTCAGCCTGTCCTTAACCCCAGCGCGGAACCATGGCTGTCCATGATCACATCAACTCGCATGCATCCCTTCTGAGAAAATGGTGCAGTGATGAGACTGTAGTGCTTGGACGCGAGCTGTCCAAAGGTTGACACACCACCAGACTTTAACATCTGCACAGAAGCCATACCATCAATCAGATGTGCAGTTGTCATCCCTTGCATCGGTGCTGGAAGTTTTTCCTGAACATCCACCCTGGTCTCTATCTCCGAGAGAAGCACACTTTTTGTGGTTTTTCTGAGATTGCCATCCGAGTGTACGAGGGAATAGGGCACTGTCGAGAGTTCATAGATCAGGACCTTTTTCAGGTTGATGTTCCTAGACTTTGCAGAAATCACAAGACGGCCAAATAAGTCACGACCAGCAGCAACAGTAATTGTTTTGTCGTCAGCTGTCTTGATTTTCCTCTTCTTTGCCAATGTGGTGAAGGTCTTGATCTTGAGATTGGGTAAGGCATTCCAAAAGAGCACCCCATTGGTGTTGAGCCTTTCCTCAATACAAATGCTGTCATCTGTGCTGTGCCTAACTCAAAGCAGTTCAGTAGGCGTTTTGTAACATCTTGTGGCATTACCACTCTTGTGGCAATGTTGATAATGGGTAAGGGGTCATCACTGTCATTGTCCACTTCATCAAGAGAGAATGGGTCTGTCATGAGGCCTGATGTGATGGTAGGCAACAGCTTGTTGACATCTCCCTCATCTCCCTTCCGCCTGTTTGGGGCTGCCTCCTTGTGTGTTCCCACTCGATCAGAATCTTGCAGGCCACACATCTTCTTTATTGCTGTTGTGATAACAGCTCGTTCGTGGCTGGGTAAGAACTAGCGTTCCAATGCTCCGGGTTTCTGACTGATGCCGATGATGCCACCCTTGGTCTTTGAGTCTAGGTTGATGGATTGCTCCAAGGCCATATCAGTCCACACCTGAGCAAACGGCTGACTAGACCTGCTGACAGCATGNTATATGTGTGTGTGTCGTGTCGTGCTTATATATATATATATATATATATATATATATTAGATCAGAGTGCACGTAACTTCGTAACTTCGCGGCTTATAAGACGTTCTGTTGCCTTATACGCACCCAAAATTTTAGAAATTTAAAGAAAACAAATTGAAATTTTCCCGGAATCTGTGCTCATTAAATTGCCTGTATTTCGTAACATCTCACTACCAACATTAGTTAGTATATATATGTATAATTTTAGTTCATCAGTCTCACACGATAGACTGTCACGTCAGGTGTATTGTTTTCTCAGGTGTCAGGACAATGATCAGAGTCGCCAGGAGTCGCCAGCTACCGCTACAAGTGCCTGAAATACGATAGAGAAACAGTAAGTTTGCTCTTATTAAATCGTGTCCGCTTTGCAATCGTTCTGAGAGCATGTTCGATTTTCCACGAAAAAAATTACAAGCATATTTTTTCCTCAATAAATATTCATATTTGGAATGCCTCGTATCCATGAAATTAAACCCTTTTATAAGTATGTGCACGGATATTTATCATTGTTTTAGTGCAGATTTGTCACGCGTACGCCATGACGTGGTATTAATGCTTTCACACGTGCATTCCGTAATCAAACGCAGCCGCATGCTGGCGTACAGTGTGAGAAGGAAACAAATTTGAAACTTCTTCTAATTACCATAGTCCAGGAGCACGAACCTTGATATTTTCGTTTCGTTCAACAGTCACTACATCTAAGGTTTGATTTGACAGGATGGTCGAATAGACCCCTAGAACACCCCCAGGTAGTATGTAGTCTCAAATTGTGGTATCAGTTTTGTGCTAGAAGCCATTTTATAGACAAGGGTGGGTGACGCGACACCGTTAAAAAATGTGGGGTATAAATAGCATAACAACTCATATCTTTGCTAATTATCAACCAATTTTAATGATTTTGGTACCAATGGGTCCGTCTTAGAAATTGCTACAATAAAAAAATGTTAACCTACTTAAGAGGTTACTTAAGAGGTCACTACAGGTCACTACAGGTCACTACAGGTCAAAAGGTCACGTGACGGGCATTTTTTCCTTAAACTGCAGTAACGATTGCCAAATATTAATAAAATGTTGACCATATAAAGAGTTCAGTAAATATAAACTATTCATCTTGAAGGGCTAACCCATGGCAGCAAATGAAATAGTGAATGAAATAGTGACAATTTTACGTCAGCTATATGAAATGTTATAGTTCTCAGCACTGAAGTATTTGACACACTTATTATATGTGCATCACCTCTTGCTTGAGTCTGTTTAATCTGTAATGTGTTTATAATTTAAGAATACACTTTCAATATTATAGTCATTGTCATATATCATAGTCAACACTAACTGGTTACAGTATGAACTGTCACTGTCAACTTATGTGCGGCCTTTAAATATAATCATCTTCATCGTCCTCGTCATCCACATTTTGACCATCTACTGGGGTTTGTAGCATAATGTTTGGGTTCTGGCAGCTTTCATCGGCCATGCAACCACAGGCTTCAGCGCATGCAAGTCCATTTGTCCTACAGGAGCAATCTGCTCGACGACAGGCTGACTTCTTACAGCGACATGCCGTAAGCTCTACCAGTCCACGTGGTGCTGGCTCCTTTGTCATCAGCACAGGTTGCAGAGCACCATCTGAAATGCTCCAGCCATGTTGCTCGGGTGTTGGCAAGTCCTGTCTGGCATCCAGTGCCCTCCTCCATACAACAGTTTGGTAGTTTGAACGCTTTAGGTGTTGAAGGAGGCTGTCTGAAGTTGGCGGCAACACCTCATTCTTCTGGCCTCTCTGACAGAAAACCCAGTATCTTCGGATTTGCTGCCAGCTTTTGTGGTCTTTGTGTATACACTGCACACAAACGCTTCACACCCAGAGATAGTGTCTTCACTCATTGTGGTGTCTTTGCCCAGCGGAGACACACTCTCCTGGTGCAGCTTACTAGCACATATTGTGTTGAGGGCTTTCTTCTTGCCGATTCCACACAGTGAACTGTTAGAGTCGCATCCGGTCAGTGCATGGAATGCTGGCAATGCATCACAGAGCTGTGGACCCAACTCGGCAGCCAAATTGTGCATGGGGATGTACCTCAGCTTGTCCTTAACCCCAGTGCGGAACCATAGTTGTTGGCAGGCGAGACTGTTGAAGTGAGTGGCACACAGTACAGCTACATCTGTGTCTGGGGATTGGATGATGATCCTTTTGTGGTCATGCGATGCATGTTTCGCATGCAGCAGTAGCCTAGTGTCTGCTTCCTCGTGGTCTGAAGACACTGTGAGGAGCTAGCACCTCTCGAAAGCAGTTCTAGTTATCAAAGGGTTGACCATCTCTGAAACCACCAGCAAGGACAATTTGCTGGCCGAGTTGCAGCTTCTCTTGTGCCATGTGACACCACGTTTCCGACAGGAAGGCACACAGATTGGTCTTGTTTTGTGGATTGGCAATGTATTTCGGCCACTGCTTGGGAATTGGTGTTGCTGGGCTCTGGATTTTGATCTCTAGGGCAGTGGATGCTCTCCGTTTGGCACGCTCTCCAGATTTGGTTGACATGCTCCTGTACTGGTCTATGATCCCATCAAATCGCATGCATCCCTTCTGAGAAAATGGTGCAGTGATGAGACTGTAGTGCTTGGACGCGAGCTCTCCAAAGGTTGACACACCACCAGATTTTAACATCTGTACAGAAGCCATACCATAAATCAGATGGGCAGTTGTCATCCCTTGCATCGGTGCTGGAAGTTTTTCCTGAACATCCATCCTGGTCTCCATCTCCGAGAGAAGCACACTCTTTGTGGTTTTCCTGAGATTGCCATCCGAGTGTACAAGGGAATAGGGCACAGTCGAAAGTTCATAGCTCAGGACCTCTTTCAGGTTGATGTCCCTAGACTTTGCAGAAATCACAAGACGGCCAAATAAGTCACGATCAGCAGCAACAGTGATTGTTTTGTCGTCAGCTGTCTTGATTTTCTTCTTCTTTGCCAATGTGGTGAAGGTCTTGATCTTGAGATTGGGTAAGGCATTCCAAAAAAGCACCTCATTGGTGTTGAGCCTTTTCTTTTCAAATGTTGTCATCTGTGCTGTGCCTAACTCATAGCAGCTCAGTAGGCGTCTTGTAACATATTGTCGCATTACCACTCCTGTGGAAATGTTGATAAAGGGTAAAGGGTCATCACTGTCATTGTCCACTTCATCAAGAGAGAATGTGTCTGTCATGAGGCCTGATGTGATAGTGGACAACAGCTTGTTGACATCTCCCTCATCTCTCTTCCCTCTGTTTGGGGCTGCCTCATTGTGTGTTCCCACTCGATCAGAATCTTGCAGGCCACACATCTCCTTCATTGCTGTTGTGATAACAGCTCGTTCGTGGCTGGTTAAGAACCAGCGTTCCA